CTGCCACACCATGTGGTCACCTCCGGGGCAGGCGGGGATCGAACTCATGCGGAAGTGGCTTTAGATTCTCAGTACAGTGCTGTAACCTGCTGCGCCACCAGGGAGGGCCCGAGAAACACATTCTTTTGTTTATAAGCCTATGGCACTCAGTTGGTAGTCTATGCTAAGACATGCAGTTTCACATCATGTTACCTTCCTTCTTACACTTTGATAACATAGTATAGACTACCTCAGTTTCCTTTATCACAAGGCAAATCAAAGCACCATTGATGATGACCTCTTCATTGCCAACTGTAACTTTCAAAATGCTCCCTAGGCCTGTTAGAGTGGAAAACACTCCTCCCATCAGCGTCCAGATGCACCCTGCTCTGCTCACTTGCTTCTGCTGGAAGCAGACTGGCTTGAAAGGGAAGGCATGTCTCCCCTTTCACAAGTGTGATGATTTGTGGCTGAGAAGGGAGAGCCTGCTCTCTGAACCACATGCCCCCTGGTGCAGGCAGGCTAAGAAAAGATGAATGGCATTATAAGACAGACATCTGAATGTTTCATATTAAATTAGTCCCACGGAGTGCCCAGAATTTTCATTCCATAAATCACGAAGTAAAGTCAACTCACTCCCAGGTTAGATTGCTGTGACTTTGGCCTGTGGTGTCATAGATAATCTGAGAACAGTTAAACATTTGTTTGAAATAGTAATAATTTTCAGCATATTTACTTTGTGACACAGAATGACCCAGACTGATCTCTATAGCCAGACACACATGTAAGGGGAGCCAGCCAGCTTAGGAGAGTCCCAAACAAGGCACTGCCTCTCACCCTTCCACCGAAACTGCCTTGAGCTCCCAGAGCTGCTGGGCACTAGGGGCCCAGAGGAGCAAATTTCCACTTTAGAGAACAGATACAAAAGAGGACTGTTGATGGGCCCTTCCTCCCTCTTTTAAATTTCAGTTGTGGCACACTTTTGAGATTCATGGTGTCTTGGCCTAAATATCTTAACACTGGGAAAATACCTTGATTCCTTAAAGCCACATTTCCTTCCAGTGAAAAAGACTTACTCTGAGATTATTTTAAACAGTCTTGCATCCATGCTGGTTCTCCCATTCCTGGCTGACATTGTGACTACTGGAGACATGCAGGGAAAAGCGCAGTGGACGGGGGTTCATGAGGCCTTTGGACTTGATGTCCACCAGTTGAGGGCACATTAAACTGCTGCTTCCTCTTCTATAAAATCAAAGTGACTTTGCCATATCTAATGTCTCCCCTCAACTCTTGCCCCTGGCGCTGTTGAGCAAGTACCTTGGTGTAAGGACCAAATAAGTTCATAAATGCAGATGGTGTTATGCTGTTAGAGGGTCTGCCTGTGCCGGGCACCATGTTGGACTATTATGCTGTTGTCTCTCATTCTATACTCACGAAACCCTACAAATCAGATCATTCTCCTGCTTCTGCTTTTACATTGTACAGATGGGGAAACTGAGCTTCTGAAAAGTGAAATATCTTACCCAAAGTCAATAAAGGGCAGATCTGGGATTTGCTGAACCACGTAGTCTGAGCCTTTTATATTGTGTTGCTTTAGAAAACCTTTGTAGGTTTCCAACACTGTAGACATTCAAGTGTGTGATATTATTTATTTTTTTAAAAAAAGATTTATTTATTTATGCATACAGAACTGGGGTACAGGCCAGAGGTGCAGGGGTGGTGAGAAGATTCACCAGAGACAGAGTGGGGAGCAGAACAGGCCGACTGACCAAGTACCCTGCTGAGGGGAGCAAGGGGTGGGCCAGGAGAGGTCTGCTGCACCATGTGGATCACCCCTGGGGCAGGGATGGAACTCATGCTGAAGTGGCTTTAGCTCCTAGTGCTGTGCTTTAACTCTGCACCAGCACACAGGACCCAGGGTATTATTAATTCTTAAGCTGAGTTCAATGGATGCCTTCAAGGAGTAATTTTATGGTTTAGTCGCTGCCTGCTTGGAGGAATTCCCTGTTGACAGCTAAATCAGGCAAAATGGGGTGTACTTGAATTTCGAACCCAAGGTGGAAGGGGTGCTGCCCTGTTCGAGCCAGAGGCGCTCACCCCCTCCTCAGGACACCAGAAGCTTCAGAGGTCTCACTAATCTACCCCAATTTCTATGAACATCCACAGTGCTAGTTGCTAGGGCTGCTATAATGCAGAACCACCCAGTGGGGGCTTAAACAACAGAAATGTCTTGCAGGTCTGGAGGCTCAAAGACCAACTGAGATCAAGGTGCTGTAGGGTTGGCTCCCCTGAGGGCAGTGGGAAAGTATCCATTCCATGTCTCTGCTTTAGTTAGTGCCTACTGATTTGCAGTCTTTGGCTTTCCTTGGCTTGTAGCAACATTACCCCAGTGGCTGCCTTCCTGCTCACATGGAATTCTCCCTCTGCCTTCCCGTGTTCCAGTTGTCCCTTTACATAAGGACAGACATCACATTGAGCTAGCCCTTTTCACTCTGTTATGACCTCATATTAACTAATTGCATCTCCAATGACCCTGTTCCCAAATAAGATGGATCACATTCTGAGACGCTGAGGGTTACCACATCAACATGTGAATTTGGGGGGCAGGGGCACAAGCAGAGCAATTCACTCCATAACAAAGGGTCACCAAAGTTCCAGCCCACCACAAACAAGCACTTCATGTGGGCACGAGTGCTCTACCATTAGAGGCTGCACGGTTCTTTCTTGATGTCATGTCTCTCTCCCTTTTATGCCTTTCTTGTTTCTTACTAACACCAAAGTCTGATATTAATGGAAAAACCATTAAAAAAAAAAAACTATTATCCTATGAGGTAAAGTGAATGCACTCAACTGTAAAAGGAAGACTTACCGATCAATTGCAGTTAAACCTTGCTTGTCTGACACTTTGCAGCTAAGGAATGTGTTTTTATTGCCTGGCTAGATAGTTCAGATTTCCGGTCAGTCTTAGTAAAGACCCCTTTTATAACATTGATAAAATTTTATCACAGAGCTATGAAAACAAAATTAGATTTCATAACTCATCCCAGGCCTTGAAGGGGATGCCTCTATAAATTTTACAAATCTTATCAAGTTTTAATGTTCCCATTCTGATATCTGTGTTTAAAATAGCAACTTCGAGTGAACCTCTTCTGTATGTGTATATATGAATAAGTATGTATGTGTGTGTATAGATTTTTTTTCTCTTTCTCTTTATAGGAAAGAAAGCTTTCTTCACCTAAACAGAAGACTGTGGCAGAAGGCCAATTATTTAGATAGCTGAAGACTTTGAATTTAGGAAAATCCACTTCTATAAAAGGAATCTATGTAGTTTATAAATATTAAAATTTAGTCCTTACATTTATTCCTCAGAATAAGTGGATTTTTTCATGAGCAGATTTGGGGAAATGACCAACATTAGGTACACATTATCTATAAACTCATAATAAGACAATCATGATCAAGGGCATGTTCACCATAGAGACTTTGCATTTGCATTTTAGTGAAATCCTGAACATTCTCTAGGCTTTTAAGACTGTGAAGTGGTCATGTGGGCAAAGCATCACATACAGGGGACATCTTTTGTCTCCCCAACTACAGAATAAGAACCTAGGGAGACAGAGACACTTGTGTTTATTTACCTCGCTCAGAACTCTGCCCACAAGGGCTCATAATGCTCAGAGCAATGTGATGAGAAGATGAAGTTTAGCTGTCTCCTACTCTTGTGCTGGGCCACAGCTGAAATTGCAGCGGTACAGTGGGACCAGAGGGTATGCATTATAGAATTCCGTTTCAGTCAGCTGCTCACAAGCTGCGATCCTCAGAGTCAAATCAAGTTATAGTTGGGTAGTCTTTTCTGTTTTCCAGAAGCAAGAAACACTTCTCAAAATTGTGCAAATGAAATAAATGCCATGATGGAAATGAGGCATCTTATAGTCTTACACTGTTTCTTTGATGATTATACATTTTGGCTTCAGATGTTGACTTGAAGGAAACATTCAAAAATTATGTGAAATTACTTACAAATGAATTGACAACATTCAAAACCTCAGTAGACTATTACGCAGTTCTCAAACTATTGTGGTTCACGCACTCCTTTGAGTATCTTGAAATCTTTTGAAAAGCCATAACTAACAGAATATAAAAAAAAGTGATTATATATGTGTGTGTATATATACACATATATATACACATATATATACACATGTATATATACATATATATACATACATGTGTATGTGTGTATATATATACATATACATATATAGATAGATAGATAGATATACAGATACACACCATTTTAAGGAGTTCCCTGACTAACCTGAAAAACATCTGTGAACCTCCAAGTAAAGCACTGAAGCACTCCCAATTTAAGAGAAGCGATTTCTGATTTCTATAATCTGCAAGGTCTGGCAAATGCAGAATCCATACCTCTCACTGGTATATATCAGTACATGTCCAATAAAGTAGATTCTTTCACTGTGGTAATATGTTATCTATGACTGTAATATTTTATATTGACTGTTATATTCAAAAACAATAAACCATGAAGACTTCTTATCATCTTTGAATGTGATTTTTGTCTCTACAAATCTTATATGGGAAAAGAAAAGGAAATATAAATTTTCTCAAACTGTGTTGTGAATTCGAGGCATTCCTTAGAGAAAAAACTTATTACCTGGAAGAAAAAAGCTAATTAAGTCGACATTTCTTACAGTCACAAAACCATTTTACTTGCTGCTCTTACAGGCAGAAGGGAATACAGTCTGTTTCCTTTTGTCTGTCAGGAGAATAATAGGAACACAGACAGGCCTGGCAGCAGAAGAGTGGCCACAAATGTCTGGAGCCTGCCTGGGAATCGCTGCTTCCTGGCTGTAGAAAAGCACAGAACCCCCAGCTGTATCCACTGCCATGCTATCCATTCACTGCTCTTTTATAGAAGAGAGATATATTTCCAAATGCTCAGGTAACTTTCTGGTCACTACATTTAAAGTCATTTACAACTATACTTCAGTTCACTTAGTCAAAGCTGTACTGTACTCTCAGAAATGATGGTAAAGTGCCTTTTTCTGCCGTTAAGGTGTTGTTTGGAAACCTCCTTAACACTTACATTTTATATAAAAAGTACTTGGGATTATAATTTAGCATCATTGTCCTTTACTAGACTTCTCTGATTAGAAAACAACATGACACTGGAAGCCTAAGATGCCCTGCAAGGCACTCCATTTATTCTCTGCTTTGTTCCCAGAGCCCAGCACGGTGCCTGGAACACAGTTGGTACTCCGTAAATCTTTGTTAAATATCAAATGAGGAGTCGAGTGCTTCCTACAACCCAGGGGACCGATCTATTTTCTCATCTGTAAAATGAGAATAATATTTCTCACTAGCCCCCAAAAGTTGTTTTTAGCATCAGATGTCACAAAGCATGGGAAAGCATTTTTTTCCTTCTTTTCTGAATAAAAGAATGGTCTTCAAGACTAGATATATGATTTCATGCAGATCCAAAAGAAATAAGTACCATTGTGCTATCGTAGTGGGAAGAAAGAGATCCCAGACGTAGAATTCAAATCAGATATATTCTAGAATTTCAGTCCTGACATGGAGGAGGGGAGTATTCTGTCACCAGAAGTGAGGCATTAATGCATCAAAATCAGGAACTTTCCTCTATTTGTGTGAACAGCCTAATACATGTCAGAGCAACCTTGTAGTCATTCGAAGGGGAGCACATGACACTCATAAATTGGGAATCATTTCAACACAGAGGGGGAGGAAGATTCTACAGTTGCAAATTAGTCAACTTTTTTTTTTTTTAAAGATTTATTTGTGCATACAGAACTGGGGTACAGGCCAGAAATGCAGGGGCGGTGAGTGGATTCACCAGAGGAAGAGTGGGGAGCAGAACAGGCCGACTGACGAAGTACACTGCTGAGGGGAGCAGCGGGCGGGTCAGGAGAGGTCTGCCTCGCCATGTGGACTTCCTCCGGGGCAGGCGGGGATCGAACTCATGCGGAAGTGGCTTAAGCTTCTTAGTGCTGTGCTCTTTTTTTTTTTTTTAGAGAGATTTATTTATTCATACAGAAGTGGGGTACAGGCCAGAGATGCGGAGGGTGAGAGGATTCACCAGGGACAGAGTGGGGTGCAGAAGAGGCAGATCGACGAAGTACACTGCTGAGGGGAGAAGTAGGCGGGTCAGGAGAGGTCTGCCGCGCCATGTGGACCTCCTCTAGGGCAGGCGGGGATCAAACTCATGCGGAAGTGGCTTCAGCTTCCCAGTGCAGTGCTTCAACCCCCTGCGCCACCAGGGAGGGCCAAGTCAACATTTTTTAAAGGATGCTAATAACAGATATATAGGGTTGTTGTCTACTCAAGAATTTGGGGACCAAAGAATATTCCAAAGTGAGGGACTGGGCTTAGTTTGTTTAATTACATTTATAGAATAACCGTGATATGCCAGAACTGCTCTGGGAGCTGAGGCTATAATACTGAACAAGGAGGCAATCTGGCCTTACTGGCCTAGTGAAGGTAGGTTAGGAAACTAGTTAAGAAAACATTTAGTGATAAATGCTTTAAAGGAAAAAGTACTGGGTAAAGAGATAGAAGGTACCAGAAAAATTGATAGTCAAATGCACACAGTTGTCAGAAAACATTTGTTGAGTATATACATAGGTGAATGACGAAATAAAAAAAAATACCATTTGCAGAGTGTAGTAAGTATCATCTTCTACTCTTTTATGGGGCTTGTGGAGAAAGAACTGGAATTGGTAAAGAAGGGATAAGTCCTGGGGGTATCCATCAATCCTGTTTGAATATCGACCAGCAGATACCGGGTTCACCACAAAACACATATAAGTAAGCTGACAGAGAGACCTCAGGAGAACATCTCCATTTGCATCACTGCTGCCAGCAGGGGGCTGTGAGGAGATGAGCTGATGGAAGTCAAGGCTTCCGTGCAGGAAACAGTGAATGTTAGCCAGGAAGTTGCCTTCTGCATATCAAGCGTTCTACTTAATCACTAGTTTCCTTACCTGCGGCAATCTGCTGCTGCTTCTTGGCTCTCACTGTCCTGTACTGTGTATCTTGTACTTGAGGCACTGGTAAATATCATAGCTAGAAGGGACAGAGTGAAGTCTGATGCTGAAAGCCTGGGCACTAAACCATACTCTATTGCCTATTCGTTGATCTAAGAATTTATTTACTGAGTATCTACTATAGGTGCTCATTTAGTCAAATTCATTAAGTTTGGCATTAAGCATATAACTGCTTTGTGTCAAGAGAAAAGAACAAGTGGGGTAGAGGAGGGAAAAGAAGGTGATTACAAAGTAACCCTACTTGTTCCTTTGATTGAACTCAGGAAAAACTTTTTTTTTTTTGCTACCACTCTGTGAGCTTCTGGAATCTCTCTGCTCTCTGTGTGAACTTGGGCAAATATAAAACTTATATTTTCTCTGTTCCTGGAGCTTTCAGAATCCCAAAGCATTTGGTTTAGATTAAATCCGTTGACCAAGCCATTATAATTCGGCTGCTATACAGATGATCCCATCACCCGCCTCCTTATCTAACCCAACTGCTTATTACAGTAAGAGAGTATACTAGTCTGGGGGGTAGGGGCAGGTCTGGGGGAGAAGGTCACTCGGGTCTAGCAGCCACATGTACACAGCAGGGAGGTGTCCTTTTAGAATCACGAGGAGTGGATTCATAAAATCCAATCAGGAGCATGTGTGTGCATTTATATAAGCTTTTTTTTTTTTTGCCTGAATCTAAATTATAGAGATTTTAATAGCTCCAGTAATTAGGCAAGTATGCAGTCAACCCCATTATGTTCCTGTGTAATATCACACTCCCCAGGGTCCACCTTGCCCGCTTGCTGGGCTCCTTGCATGGGCTCCCTTCCCCCTTATTTTCTACCATAGGGAAGCAGTTTCCTTTCAAAGAACTCACTGTTCACATTGTTTTTGTTCCCTCAACCCGGAGGTTGGATTTGCTTTCTCAGGGGTTTCACCATTGCATCGCCCAGTTGTGTAAGAAAAGGACAGAGCAGGGTCTGACGGCTTATTTGCATTCCCCACAGGCTGGCACACGCGCTGGCCTGGCGGGGACCCCGCAGCTGAGGAGAGACTTAGCCTGTAGCTAGAGACAGGTAGACCCTTCATCATTGTTTACAACTGAGTCTGCATGAGAAACAAAAACAATATAGAAAAAAGCTTCATGACTCAATTATTAACCTTAAAGTAAGCATAACAAAATACTCAGATTCTCTGTCTTCATCCCTGATTACTACCTCTTTTTTTTATATATATCTTATGTTTTGTAAATTTCTATTTTTACTTACAAGCATATGTAGTCCCTGAAGGTGCTCTGAGGGGTCTATCTAAAGAATATTGGGCATCTTGAAATTTGCTTATTCTAGAACTAAAAACAACGTTCTGGTTATTTGAAATTAAGGACAGGGTGTGCAGTATTACTAAAATACTACCGCTCATCTAATCAAGAGATTGACTTTTTCCATATGCGTTACACACAGTTTCATAAGGGAAACTTGCCATTTATTTTGTTTCTTGTTTGTTTTGTTTTTCTCATGTAGGTATTTCCAAAGACCAATGTCTGGAGTTCACAAGCCTGAGTTCACCTTTTCTTATCCAATCCCCCCAACCACCAAAACAAAACAAGCTAAAATAACTTTCTTTCCTTCACAAAAATCTGAAAGTTGTCCCCTGAAAGTAATAATAGAAAGCTATGAAGTTGGCTTCCTAACTAGCTAGAAAAGCAAAAGAAAACAGCATAAAATCAAATGCTTAAATCACTCATGTAATTGAGTTCATTGTAATTGGCAAACTGATACTCTCTCTCTATATATAGTGAGTATCAAAACTGTCAGAAACCATGGTGTGGGCTGTGAGTAGGAGACTTGAAAGTCAGCACTGTTTTCTAAAATCTTTCTCTACAGAGAGATGGATAAAAGGATAATGAGCTGAGGTATTTTTAAAGGATTCTCACAATTTACCACTCAAGTCAATCTAGTTTTAAAATATGTGTCTTTTCTTAGGCTCTAATGACTGAAAATGTTAAGCTAAATATTTTGCTTAAATGAGTAAAGACGAAGGGGGTAGATGAGCGCATTAGAATGCATGAAAGCTGCCTCTGCC